TGTGTTTCATGTATAAATGAAGTGGTATTAGTGAAAGTGAAGCTGTAGTTGTATTAATAAAGTGATATTAGAAATGAAGTGGTACCTGTATAAATGAAGTGGTAATAATGCAAGTTAAGTGGTACCTGTATAAATAAAGTGTTATTAATGGAAGTTAGGTGGTACTTTTATAAATAAAGCGGTTATAAAGGGAAGTGGTACCTGTATAAATGAAGCAGTATTAAACAGTATTAATAGAAGTGCATATTATTTGCTGATGATACAACTATTTTTTTGCAGTGGAGAACATTTAAAACAACTTCTGGATACAGTGGAAGAAGAACTGCAGATTATAAAATCTCTTCACCTTGGTAAAACAAAATATATGATATTTGGAAATCGTGCTCCAAACATTCATAGAAAAATTAGAATAAATGAAACTGGAATTGATATAGTCACTGAAATAAAATTTTTTGGAGTAATAATTAACAGTTAACTCAGTTGGAAACCACACATAGATCATGTTAAATCCAAAATGTCAAAATCTATTGCAATCCTGCACAAAGCTCAAGATTTCCTAAACCAGAGCTCTTTGTATACACTTTACCATTCATTCATAGTTCCTTACATGATGTATGGGGTAGAGATATGGGTAAACACTTATAAAACAAACACAAACTCCATTTTTTTTACTGCAAAAAAAGCTATACGTATTGTAAGCAAAAAACCCTATCATGAGCCAACCAATTCATTATTTATTCAACATAACATACTCAAATTCCAAAACTTAGTAGATTATAAAATAATACAAATTATGTATAAAGCTAGAAATGGACAATTACCTCAAAGTATTCAGAGGTTGTTTAAAATGAAGGACAGCTATTACAATCTGAGGGGAACAATCATTTTTGAAAAACCAAAGATCTGTACAAATGTCAGAAGTCATTGTCCATCAGTTAAGGGGGTGAACTTGTGGAATTGTTCTGAAAATATAAAAACTTCAAGTACATTGGCCAGACTAAAAAAACTTTACAAAAATACCTTAATTATGCAGTACACTGTCAAAAAATAGTAAGTATATCTTATATTTGAGCTCATGAATCCATGTCATGTTGTCTTTGGTGTCTTGTCTGCTTGGTGTCTTATGTTTTGGTTGACTAAAAATTTACCAATTAGTATTTAAGTTTGTATTTTGGTTGACTGAAAGTTGTTTCTTTGGTTGACTGAAAGTAGTTATGTTTGGATTAGCTCACATTGAGTATAAATGGTTTATTTGTGACAAGGGTAGGCGTTATAAGCCTTTGCTTCAGCCTACACCTTTTCGGTCAGTCCTTGTTTTGTGTACCTGTGCTTTGTTGCTGATATTTTTTTTTCTGTTGCTTTTTAATGACCAAAATCAATCAATCAATCAATCAATCAATCAATCAATCAGAAGTGAAGTGGTACTTGTGTAAATGAAGCGGTATTAGTAGAAGTAAAGTGGTACTTGTATAAATATGGTGCTTTTAATAGGAGTGTAGTGGTACTTGTATAAATAAAGTGATGTTAGAAGTGAAGTGGTACTTGTATAAATAAAGTGGTAACAGAAGAAGTGTAGTGATACTTGTATACACGAAGCTGTATTAGTAAAAGTGAAGTGGTAGTTGTATAAATTTAGCAGTATTAGTAGAACTGAAGTGGCACTTGTATAAATGAAGTGGTAATAGTATAACTGAAGTGGCTCTTGTATAAATGAAGTGGTAATAGTATAACTGAAATGGCACTTGTATAAATGAAGTGGTAATAGTATAACTGAAGTGGTACTTGTATAAATGAAGTGGTAATAGTATAAGTGAAGTGGTACTTGTATAAATTTAGCAGTATTAGTAGAACTGAAGTGGCACTTGTATAAATGAAGTGGTAATAGTATAACTGAAGTGGCTCTTGTATAAATGAAGTGGTAATAGTATAACTGAAGTGGTACTTGTATAAATGAAGTGGTATTAGTGAAAGTGAAGCTGTAGCAGTATTAGTAGAAATGAAGTGGTACCTGTATAAATGAAGCGGTAATAATGGAAGTTAAGTGGTACCTGTATAAATAAACTGGTATTAATGGAAGTTAGGTGGTACTTTTATAAATAAAGTGGTTATAAAGGGAAGTGGTGCCTGTATAAATGAAACAGTATTAATAGAAATGAAGTGGTACTTGTATAAATGAAGCAGTATTAACTGAATTGAAGTGGTACTTGTGTAAATGAAGCAGTATTAACTGAACTGAAGTGGTACTTGTGTAAATGAAGCAGTATTAACTGAACTGAAGTGGTACCTGTATAAATGAAGCAGTATTAACTGAACTGAAGTCGTACCTGTATAAATGAAGCAGTATTAACTGAACTAAAGTGGTACTTGTATAAACGAAGCAGTATTAATGGAAGTGACGTGGTACTTGTGTAAATTTAGCAGTACTTTTTGTTCTGATTCTTCAAACGTCCATCAGTTTCTGCACACCTCCATCTTTGCCTCTTTTGGCTCCGCCCTGTCCAGCTCACACCTTTACACACAACACCTCCACCCCACCATTGCTGCCGTAACAGCCCGCCCGCCTCCATTAACCCCACAAAACTCACTGCTGTATCTGTATTACTTTAGTATCACCCAGTCTACCGCCGCTAACCCCCGCCAATATCACCGCTCCGCCATCTTTTAACACCCCGCCCCTCTGCGTTAACACCACCCCTCCACGGTAACACCTTAATCCCGCCCTCGCTCCACCGCCGCCGGGCGCTGAAATATGTTTCAAATGCCGCCATAATCCTCAAAGGAGAAGAAGAAGAGAGAGAACACTCCACGCTGGAGGATTCCTCTCCTCCCCCCCATCGCTCGCCGATCCCTCCCTCCCTCTCCTCATCTCTCAGGGATTATCTCCCCGCCGCAGCCGGGACTTCTGGGAAATATTAGAAAAGTGGGGGAGGCGTCTCCCAGCCAGTCTTTACCTCTCTCCCTCCCTGTGTTTCATATGACAGCTGCTGCTGCTGCTTTTTAATATCAAGTCATTACAGGTTATTACAGGTTATTAAAGCTCACCTGGACCAGACACACTCCACACACAGGAAGTTGTCGGTTAGATTCCCACAGGCAGACCGGATCATTCAACTACACGTCAATAGCAACAGTCAATTTGTTCTGTGATTTATAGTTAGAAGTTCACAGTGGAAATCCAAAATAAATTATAAATGTAATGTTTTAAATTAGGTCCATATAAATGTTTTTGTCTTTATTATCTGGTACATTTATTATGTGTATTTTCAACCTGCTCTGTTTGTCTGTGTCTCCTCATGTTGGGACAGAATTAGACAGTGGTGGAATTTAACTAACTGCATTTACACGTACATGGACAATTTTAAGATACTTGTACTTTATTTGAATATTTCTATTTTCTGCTACTTTATACTTAAGCTCCACTACATCAGTGATGCAGCCTTTGTCAGTGACACCCCAAAGCTGTTAACACACTATGTATAGATATCAGAGAAGCTAGCTCACTTAATATTTTTAAAAGAAGGCTAAAAACGTATCTGTTCACTTCAGCCTGTAACTAACTCTGACTTTCCTCATACAGGTCTGAAACGCTTTGTTTTTACGCTTCATGCTGCTGCAACTCTTTTAAAATCTTACTTTAATTTATGAGTTATAGTTTTAAAAAAGGAGAACACCCGCACACTGTTTGCACTTGCAGAAAAAGGTTAAATTTATCAGACGTTTCGGTCATGGACCTTCATCAGGTAGCTCATGATTGAATGAATGATTTATAGTTTTACACCTCTGCTTTTATGAATCAGTTTGGTTTTATGTCCATTCTGTCTATTTTTACGTCAAGCACTATACTGCCCTTAGTGTAAAGCACTTCCTGCATTTGTTGTATGAAAGGTGCTATATGAATAAAGTTTATCATTATTATTATTATTATTATTATTACATCTCAGAGGGAAATATTGTACTTTTACGACACTAAAGCAGTATATAAAGTAATTAAAATGAGCTGCAACATTAAAGTGATGAACACATTAATGCATCAGTAATAATAATACAATAATATATTATTCGGTATTTGGAGTACTTTTACTTTAAGTACTTCAATTATATTTCAATGTTAATACCTTTGTACTGTATAGCCCCATTTCCACCAAGCAGTCTGGTTCCCTTACAATTCAGTTAAGTGTGCTTTTTTACCGTTTCCACTGTGAATAGTTGTGGATGGTACCAATGGAACCGTTCCTTACTGTCCCCATGTTTGGTCCCCCCTCTGCTGGGGTACCTAGCACACAGATCTGGTACTAAAAGGTGGAGCCCCTTAGCTGCACTAAACCACTGAGCTTGCCTGAGAAGGACTAAATGCACAAAGCAACTATTTTAAAATATCCCATGGAGAGAGACTCTCACTGCAGCCTGTGCTATTTTGTTCTCGACTCGTTTTGTGGACGATAAACGAGGTGCAGACTGATAAAGGAGGAAATACAGGGAGTGCTGGACGGAGCAGTGAGTCACAACACCAGTACTCTTTCATGTGGGCGGGCCACATGTTTGCGGTGGAGGTGCTAAGCGGACTGAGGGTCTAGGTACCATGTCTGAAGGGTTACCTTTGGTTCCAGAGGTACCATACTGAAAGTGTTTGGTGGAAACAGGGCTTTACTCAGGCCAAGATTTGAATGCAGGACTTTTACTTGTGAACTTTTACATGAATACTTGAGTATTTCTACATTGCGGTATTAGTACTTTTGTCTGCTTCCACAGCTGTATCAGCAGCCCATATTTATTTCTCTGCAGTAGATTTGTGGAAGATGGTGTTAAAGTTTTGATGTAAACCATGAAGAGAAAACGTGTGATGTTTCTGAGTGAGGACGTGTCTTGATGAACTGAACATTTAAAGATGGAGTCTGTTGTTCCTCCTTAACATTTCTGTTCTAGTGATGTCATCAGTGATGTGTTAATAACAATCAGCTGATCAGATCTGATCAATAAATCCAGACTGTGTTTCTCTGCAGTGTAAACGTCTGGAACAGGAAGTGATCCAGGAGCGAGAGCAGAGGCTGAGTGAGGTAAATACAAACACACACACGCACACACACACACACACACACACACACACACACCAACACACACATTTTCTCTCTCTCTTTCTTGCATATTAACTGGTGGTCTCTGTGTTGAATGGTGATGATGGGATGTCTGCTCTGTCGTCATGACAACCTGCCCCGGAGACGCTGCAGCTTGTTTGCCAACAACTTGTTATTCAAACAAGGGTCGCTGTGTGTATGTGAGTGTGTGTGAATCTATCTCTGTGAGGACCAATTTCAGTTTCAAACCTTCGTGAGGACATCTTTGCATTATGAGGACAATGAGTGCGGTCCTCACTACTTCACAGGACAGTTGGAAGGTCCAGCTGTGGTTCGGATTAGAATCAGGCTCAGGTCATGTTTAGGGTTGGGGTACTGAGTTGTGATGATTAAAGTCAGAGTAAAGGAATGCACCATGCAAAGGAGCGTCCCCACAATTGTGCAGAGACAAGTATCTACAAACATCTATGAATATCTATGTAAGGGCTACATTTGGACTACGTTTAGGCTACATGTTAAGGCTAGATTTAGGCTAGGTTAGGGCTACGTTAAGACTATGGTAGGGCTATTTTTAGGTTATGCATTTAGGCTACATTAGAGCTACATTAGGGCTACATTTAGGCTTTATGTCAAGGCTACGCTAAGACTATGTTAGGACTATGTTAAGACTATGTTAGGGCTACGTTGAAGTTATGCATTTAGGCTACATTAGAGCTCTGTTAGGACTACATTAGGGCTACGCTAAGTCTTTGTTAGGGCTACGTTTGGGCTATGCATTTAGGCTACATTAGAGCTATAATAGGACTACATTAGGGCTACATTTAGGCTTTATGTCAAGGCTATGCTAAGACTATGTTAGGGCTACATTTGGGCTATGCATTTAGGCTACATTAGAGCTCTAATAGGACTACATTAGGGCTACGTTTAGGCTGTATGTCTAGGCTACGTTAGGACTACATTAGGGCTACGCTAAGTCTTTGTTAGGGCTACGTTTGGGCTATGCATTTAGGCTACATTAGAGCTATCTAAGGACTAAATTAGAGCTACATTTAGGCTGTATGTCAAGGCTACGATAAGACTACATATGGTTACGTTAAGAGTGTTTTAGGACTACATTTAGGCTATGCATTTAGGCTACATTAGAGCTATGTTCAGACTACATTAGGGCTACATTTAGGCTTTATGTCAAGGCTACATTAAGTCTATGTTAGGGCTACGTTTAGGCTGTGCATTTAGGCTACATTAGAGCTATATTAGGACTATGTTAGGGCTATGTTAAGGCTAAACATCAAGGCTACATTATGGTTATGTTTAGGCTATGCATTTAGGCTACATTAGAGCAGCATTAGGACCATGTTAGGGTTATGTTTAAGCTTTACATTAAAGCTACATCAAGGCTATGTTTAGGCTATACGTCTAGGATACATAAGGACTATTTCAGGGCTACATTTAGGCAGCCTTACAGCTACACTGGGACTACGTAAGGGCTATGTTGAGGCTATGTCAGGGCCACGTTTAAGCTTTAAATTCAGGCTACATAAGAGCTATATTAGGGCAAAGTTTAGGCTATGCATGTAGGCTATGTTAGGACTATGTCAGGGCGACATTTAGGTGTAAGTTAGAGCAACATTAGGACTATGTTTGGACCATGTTAATCTATGTTAAGGTGATGTTAGGGCTCAGTTAGGAGTATGTTAAGGTTATGTTACATAAAGGTCACATTAGAGTTACGTTAGGTTTGCGTTATGGTTGGACCAGGGTTACTGGAACTGAGTCAGTAATTAAAAAAACAAATGCTACTGTTCCTGATAAAGTGGACACTGAGTGTGTAATGACATCATAATGAATGTATTAAAATATTTAATAAAGTGAAACGTGTAATAACTGCAGTTAATTGTTGGGTTGTATCTAGTTACATGGACAGTCCAGTATTATTTATTTATTTATTGATAAATTTATGCTTTCAACAGGTACATGAATTTATTCAGTTATTACAGTTTATTCCGTCCTTAAATAAATCAATCATTGATCTTGAACTGATTGAGTTGTTTTGTTCTTCCTCTTGCGGCTCTGACTGCGTCTGTTTTCTTCTGCTGAAATATATTAAATTTTGTTATTAATGTAGCACTCACTCTTTTTTTTTCTTGGTGAAGTCTGTTAATTAGGCTGGAGGGCTCCGGGGGGATTAGAGCCTGGAGAGGTTTTTAATTTCCAACAGAAACACCAACAGCTGCCGTGACAGACAGTCAGAGAGCCGCCAAAAACACCAAGCTGAAACCAGAAACCAGAGCTTTGAACAGGGGCTTTAAATCAGACCTTTAAACCAGACTGTTAAACTACAACTTTAAACCAAAACTTAATATTGTAACTTTAAACCAGGACTTTAAACAAGAACTTTAAACCAAACCTTTAATCCAGAACTTTAATCTAAACCTGTATACCAGAACATTAAATCAGAACTTTCAGCCAGATTTTTAAATTTGACCTTTAAACCAGACGGCTAAACCATAACTTTGAACTAGAACTTTATATTGGAACTTTATACCAGGACTTTCAACAAGAACTTTAAACCAGACCCTGAACTTTATATCAGAACTTTAATCCAGACGTTTACACAGAACTGTTAACAGGATCTTTAAAACAGAACTTTAAACCTGAACTTTAATGGAGACCTTTAAAAGTGAACTATAAAGCAGAACTTTAAAGCAGACTTTAAACCAAATCTTTAAACTTGACTTTAAAACCAGAGCTTTAAACCCGAACTTTGCATCAGAGCTTTAAACCACACTTTTAAATCAGAACTTTGAACCAGAACTGTAAACCAGAGTTTTAAACCAGACCTGAAAACAGGAACTATAATTTAGACCTTTAAACCAGAAATTTGAGGTAGACCTTAAAGTCAGGCCTTTGAACCAGAACTCTAAAGCAGAACTTTGAACCTGAAACTAGGACTTTAAATTAGATCTTTAAGACAGACCTTTAAACCTGACCTTTCTATCACAACTTTAAACAAGATCTTCAAAACAGGAACTTAAAACCAGATCTTTAAATCAGACCCTTTAAACCAGAACTTTAAATCCGTACTTCATATCAGACCTTTAAACCAGAGCTTTGTATCAGACCCTTTAAACCAGACCTTTAAACCTGAACTTCATATCAGACCTTTAAACCTGAACTTCATATCAGAACTTCAAATCACACCTTTAAGTCTAAACTTTGAGGCAGAACTGTAAACCAGGACTTTATATTAAAACTTTAAACCAGAACTTTGAGTTAGACCTTAAAACCAGAACTCTAAAGCCGGACTTTATTTAGACCTTTAAACCTGAACTTTAATGTAGAGTTTTAAACAGGAAGTTTGAAGCAAACCTTTAAACCACATGTTTAAACTTGACCTTTGAACCAGAACTTTTTATCAGCAGAACTTTGAACCAGAACTTCAAATCGGAACTGTGTGTGTGTGTGTGTGTGTGTGTGTGTGTGTATTGTGTTATAAACTCTAAAACTGACTGATTTAAATGAACATCAAACACACAGCTTCAATAGGCTGTCAGCTAATTGGGGGGCTAATTTGTTGTGAACTGCCCCTTTAACTCCTCATGTTAAAGGTCACAGAGGGTCCTTTCATTACTCCTCCTGTCCCTCCTCATCCTCCCCCATCACCATGTCCCTCCTCACCCCTCTGCCTCTCCACATCCTCCCCCATCATCCTGTCCCTCCTCACCCCTCTGCCTCTCCATGTCCTCTCCCATCATCCTGTCCCTCCTCACCCCTCTGCCTCTCCACATCCTCCCCCATCACCCTGTCCCTCCTCCCCCCTCAGCCTCTACATGTTCTCCCCATCACCCAGTCCCTCCTCACCCCTCTGCCTCTCCACATCCTCCCCCATCATCCTGTCCCTCCTCACCCCTCAGCCTCTACATGTTCTCCCCATCATCCTGTCCCCCCTCACCCCTTCTGTATCTCTTACCTCCACATCCTGGACGACCCCTCCTCCTCCACCTCCCCCTCATTCATTGACCTTAACTCCTCATGTTAACGGTCTGGGCAGGTTAGTTTCATTACCTCCCCCGCCTCCCCCCTCCACCTCCCTCTCTTTCATTGACCTTAACTTCTCATGTTAAAGGTCAGCTCCGCGTCGCTTCTGCTTACTGATCATCTCATTTGGAAATTATTCTGATTAATAAGTGGGGCGGCTCTTTTGAAGCGTCCCCTCCGGCCCGGCTGGAGAAGACACATATTGACTCTCAGGGTTTGGTTTCTCTTTTGATGTCTCACTTTAAACTCACAGACCTTGAGGGCTTTAATTAGCATAGAGGAGGAGGAGGAGGAGGAGGAGGTCAGGATCAGGGCTGTAATCCCTGCTGGAGTCGACCTCCACACTGTTTGGCCAGAGTCACAGTAAGATGCACCGTCCTGTAACTGTCAGCCCGCAGGTTGAATCCCTGCAGCAGCAGCAGCAGCAGCTCTGTTAGCACAAGGTGAGGAGGTGATAGGAGGTGAGGAGGCAGGTGATATTCAGGATATATGAGGTGCTGTAGGAGCCCTCCTGTTTTTCACTCAGAAGTTTTTATATACAGTATTTATACATCAAGCGTTTGCACTTTGTCTGCGGATCAATAACCAGTGTCACCTCAGGATCATTCACCAAACTGCACCTGTTGAGCTCACTTTAATTCCCACAATGCACCTTGAGGTTGTGATGTGCTGTCTCCGTGAATCAGGAGCTCATGAAATTTAAACCCGCATTAAGAAGTGTGTTGACACTCGTGTTAGTTAATTAGTCAATTACTTAATTAATCGTTTATTTAAACGGGGATCAACAGCTCTGTGTGCACACGTCACATATGTACATGTAATATGAATTTATGATTGACAGGTATGATAACCAATGAGACTGGACCTTTCATCATTGTTGTCATCATCATCATTCACACGGATCATTTGTTCTGGTATAACGCTGCTGCTGTCAGAAGGTAAATGTGCTTCATGTGTGTTTTATCCAATCAGGTGGATCAGCTGAGACTTCAGCGAGAGAGGGGCGGAGCTCTGGAGGACCGTTCACAGATAGAGGCGGAGCTACAGGTGCTACGAGCCAGCCACAGGTCAGACTATTGAAAAGTAGCAAGCTTTCGCCGTGGTGTCTTGAAACCATAATGTCCCCATTTGTCTGCTCTGTGGTGATGATTTCAGATTGTGATGTCACTGCGCTACATTTACTGTCCTGTTCAGTCTGTTCACTGTCAACATGTCACATGTTAAAGACGTGTACGTTAAGCCTGGGTGTTATTAAGGTATTACAGTGTACCAGGGTGTTTAGAGTGGGTAGATCGAGTACAGTGTACCTGAGCAGGTAGAGTGCAATGTAGCTGATAGATGGATATGTAATGGACTCAGCTACAGCTGTTTAAAATTAACTGACAGTAGAAACAGGATTTTGCTTTCACACTTTATTTGCAGTGATTTGTTCATGCAAGGTCACAAACAGAAGCTGTCTCAGTCAACTCGTCCACAGAGTGCCACAAAGCTCTGAGTCTAAACAGCTGACCTCTGCAGAGTGAGCGCCAAAAGATACAAGCAGAGCGTTTCTCTAAGCTGATAACTGAAGCACCACTTCTCTCAGTCAGGATTCAGATTCTAAAAAATCAACTGAACCACATCACACCAGAACGCCTCAAACCTTTACTGCTGTTTCTACTTCTGCTTCTACTGCTGCTGCTGCTGCTCCTCCTGCTGCTGCTGCTGCTGCTGCTGCTGTTACTTGAACTCCTGGATTTGTCTCTTTCATCCACGGTTGTTGTTTCTACTCCTGCTTCTGCTCCTACTCCTGCTTCTACTTCCACTTCTACTCCTGCTGCTGCTGCTGCTGCTGTCACTTTGATTAATTCTGGGTCTTTTTCTGCTAATGGTGGAGTCTCTGCTCCCACTTCTGCTCCTTCCTCTCTTTTGAGGCACAATGTTGTTTTCAACACAAACATCTGCAACTTTCCGCTGTGATGAGCAGCTGTAACACTGAAACTCTAAATTTTGGGGTTTGTAACAGCGGAAAATGTTTCTGAGATGGAGGCCAGTGTTCCCAAGCTGTATCAGTGATTGTTCCAAATCGTCTTTGGTGGGAGCATCACCATATTTTGGCTTATCAAAGACTCTTGTGAACACAAAGGCAGCATCAGTCCAGTATGGAATAACATTTTTCTCAATGTCTTTAAGGATGTTGAACCTATTATTTGGGTTTGTGCACTTTCCTCCACATGCAGAGAGGTAAGAGTAGATGAGCAGGAAGTGGTTCCTGCTGTTGCTGATCAGTGGTTGCAAGTTTTTCAGAACTTGAGCTTCTGCGTGCACAGCTCCAGCAGGTTTGGCTACAACCACACTGCTGCCTGTGTACACATCACCACCTGAGAGTGTGTCTTCAACGTTTCTACTGTAGGGGTCGTTCTGTAGGACTTCATTGAGTCTGTTTGGGTCATGATTTAGTGGAATGTTTGCAGCCAGACAGAACTGTCCGTTTATTCTGTACCTGTCGAAGGAAAAAGACGCACAAAACTGTCACGATCAGTCGACCTGTCTGTGTAAAATATAATATTCATCAATACACACATTCAGTTACCTTTACATAGGTATTTTATAGATATATAAATAGTGTCACAGATTTCAGACATGAAAGGATGAAGCAAAATGCTGACTAAAGTTGAGTCTATGTTGTACAAACTGTCATGTCATCAGATTGTTTCAGTGTGTTGGAGAGATGACTGAATTCTTAATAAATGTCCACTTTCAAAATATGAATTAAAAGTTAATTATTATTGCATTTTTACAAAACAGTGACAGCTGCAGCAGCTCTGAGACTCAGGAGTCCTCTGGACCTCCAACCTCTTTCACACTATAGGCCTATATTTTATCTACAAGTGCACGTCACACACTGAGCGAGCCGCCTGTTAATGACGCTGTGGGCTAATGGGCATGTAGCTACTTCCATGTCTCAGATGATACGTCATGTTTGTAGTCGACCAATGAAGATAAGTTTACATATCACAAGTGATGATGCTTTTATTTGGTGTGTGTGATTGTGTTTTGGTTTTTTGTTCTTTGTGTTCACTAACCCCTTTCTTGTCCTGGTAATTGACGTATAGTCACAATGAAATTTCACTCACTCTGTCCTGATGGCGTTGACAATACGAGTCAACCAGTTCACATCCACATCAGCAAAACTGCTTCCAGCTGACAGCAGGAACACCAGCGTCATCCAGGGCAGGAGATTCATCTGTACACCAGATACATAACAGCATCACACAACAGATAAAACATGATTACCAGCATGTTAGCCAGCAACGTTGTTAGAAGTTGATATTTGGTTGAATTTAGGTTGTGAAGTTGGGTTACCAAAATTCAATGTCAGGACGTCTATTTCCAAATTCAACTTGATTTGGAATACTGACGACAGATGACGTTGATATTTTGTTGGTTTCAAGTTGTGATGTTAAGTAACCAAAATTCAACGTCTTTCAAACTTAGCTTGTGAATGATGAACCTGAGAGAAAATTATGAAACATAGCTCTGTTTTCATCCCGTGTTGGAAAATAGTGAGCTGTATGTAATTAAACTAGTGTTGAGGTGCCCACTAGCTCCTAGAAACTAGAAACCTTGGTGTTATCCTGGGCTCAATTTCCACAGCCACATCAAATCTGTAAAGTCATCTGCCTGCTACCATTTAAAAAACATTGCCAGAGTCGGAGGAATAATGTCAAAGTAAGACCTTGAAAGGCTCAGCCACACCTTCATGTCCTGTAGATTAGATTACTGCAGTGGTCTGTTTGTAGGACTTCAAAGCGAGCTGTTCGGCAACTTGAGCTTATTCAGAATGCTGCTGCTCACATCCTGACAAAAACTAGGAAATGCGACCATATTACTCCAGTTCTAAAATCCTTACACTGGCTACAACTTACTCAGAGAATTGATTTCATAGTGACATATGAACCTTCTAGGACCCTGACAACATCTGGGCTAGCCTACTGACCGTGCCAAGAGTTAGACCAAAACACGGTGATGCAGAATTTCCCCTCTGGGGGATTAATAAAGTAAATAAACTTAAACAAACAAACCTGGAATAACCTCCCAGAGGATGTTAGAAAGTCGGGCTGGGCGGTATGACAAAATTTTCATTTCACGTTTTTTTAAAAAATCATATCAGTTTCACGGTATTTGACGTTTTTTGCTCGGGTTCGGTCCACTTGACATGCTGCTGTGTTGTGCTATGGCCTATTCAAGTGCTGGAATTTGTTATAAACATAACAACGCCTGAACGCAACACAGGCTCCGCTCCATTAGTGCTGTGCTCGGTTATAATTGTCTCAGACTTGGGTCGGCTTCAATCAGGAAAATGCAGCCCGAGCCGCGCTCTAGTGTGCTCACCTGTGTGTGTGTGTGTGTGTGTGTGTGCGCATCGGGGCGAAACTCCGCCATGCGCGATACAGAGAGCAGAGGAGAATTGTAAACCTGCGACCATGTAGAGACAGAAATGACATGCCGTCATGTAAATAAGATAAATAACATAAGGCTATTTAGTTTGTTTAATAAAAGGACAAGGTATAGACCTGTTCTATAGGCCTGGATATGAAGCGTCCATCGCTCCAAATAATATAACGGTAGTTTCTAAAGAGCTAAGATAAAAATAAAAATAAAAACAGCAGCGGCAGTCATATTTCAGCGGCAGTGCACCGCTGCTAGTTGCAAATAGGGGAAACACTGCTCTTTTGGGTATTTTTTTTGGGGTGGGGGGGTGGGGGTTCTTCTGGGTCATCGTGTTCGTCTTCAGTAGGGTTGGGTTGGTTCTCGGTAATACCATTTCGGTCCGGTACTCCGTTTTGGACCGGGTTTTATTTTTTGAGACCGACCGGACCGCATACTTGGGCAGAACGTACGCAGAGCGGACACCGCGGAGGTCCGCCCGGTAAAAGTTAGAGATGGGATTTATGGCTCTTTGAAGGGAGCCGGATCTTAGAGATCTGTTCCTTTCAAAGAGCCATTCAAAAGACTGGCTCATTTTTACATTTATTTATTTTAAGAAGCCAGCCTGGGAGTAACTCATTATCCTGGAAATAATCACTGGGGGGAATGATGGGGTGAGATTTGGATCAGAATAATTCAAACTCAGATGTGGAATATCTGAGTTTGAATTATTCTGAAATATTGATTATAACTTCATTTGACATGTGTGGACTAGATTTTAAAGTCTGATCTGGATTCATTGTAAATATTCGACAAGGTGGCGCCATATCCCTCTGCTTTGACAGTGAGATCACTATTTTGGATTTACCCTTTGAATAAAGTGTGTGTGTATGTAAATAAAGCTACCTTGACTTATGTTATTCATGCAACACCTAAAAACTTACAAATACACAATAAAAAACTAAGCAGGCTTTGTTTTTTTTTTTTGTTTTTTTACTGAGGCACTCACGTGAAGGCAGTGTGCACAACTCAGATGATGTCATGCAATATTTGCATATCAAATAAGCAACGCATGTGTACTCTGCTGCGCTCCTCCCCTTGTGCTTGTTCTCCGTCTCACTCAGTGGAGGAGCAAAGGAGGAGCTTGTGTGTGCATCTGTGTGAAACACAGAACTTAAAAAACAAACAAACAAACAAAAAAAAAAAACACGAACGGCTCCCAACTGCGACTCGGTTCCCATCGTTCATGTTAATGAGCCGTTCAAAAGATTCGGTTCGTTCATGACCGTCACAACTCTAGTAAAAGTGGACGTCTGCAAGCCCTGTGCGCGCAAAGCACGACCGCGCGGACTCCACTCCGCGCACCATTGTCACACAAAAGACTGTTCGCCATGTATTTTTCCCATCGCGGGGATTTTTCAAGGACATTTTTACATGTAGTCCGCTCCGCTTATAGTACGCCCGAGTCTGTGAGCACCTGTGTCTGCCTCTTCACCAAGCGCACAGCAAGCAGGAGAGAGAGGGGGGTGGGGCGGGGACTGAGCTAGGAGGTGCGAGTGCGCATGCGCCTCTGCTGTAGCCTGTAGTTTGTTTAATAGTGACGGGGAGTCGATAATGGCGGACGAAATCAAGGAATGCGTCACTATGGTAACACTTT